ACTGTGCTTGTTATGCTCATTATGAATCTGTTGTCTGTCAACTGTACAAGGTCCTGTTACCCTGTGCTTTGGGATAACTGGGCTGGGACTCCGCTATCCCCATTTCTGCTTGTCCATCTGACTTCTTATCGAGCGCTGCCAGTGGGGCCATAGATAGAGGGCGACTGCAAGGCTAGAGGAGGGAGGACACACCTTTTCCTGTTTGCTTCCCTGAGCTTCTTGTTTCTGCCTGCATCACCCCAGTGACTTTGAATACCATTAAGTCCCAGGGCCATTGCCATCTTACTTGATTCAAGATTGCTAGTGGAACTGCCAGTTGATGACCTGAGGATCTATCTACACCGCATTTGTGCACTGCATTGTGTTAGGCACTTTGCATATTCAGACAGCCCTCCAGTCCACATGTTTTGTATCCATGTATTCAAATAACTGTGGATCGAAAATATTCAGGGGGGATTAAAAAACAATGGATGATTGCATCTATACTGAACATGTGTAGGAGGATGTGCATAGGTTATATGTAAATACTACACCATTTTATATCAGGGACTTTGAGCATCTGTGGATTTTGGTATCTACGGCAGGTCCTGGAACCAATCCCCTAGCATACAAGGAACAACTATATTTTCTTATTGAATTCTTGTACCAACCCTGCAAGATATGTGTTCTCTTCATGTTACAGCTAAGAAAATAGGCTCAGAGCTATTAAGTGGCTTGCCCCTGGCCACCAAGCTAGTTATGTCAATGCTGAGAGTCAAAGCTAGGTCTGTCTGGCTGCACAGCTAAGCCCTTTCTGCCTCATGGTGCACTCTAAGGTTCTTTTCCTAGCTGAACTCAGAAGGAAAGCTCTCTTGTTCTGTTTCAGCTGCTTGTGTGCCAGCTGGCTGCCACACCCTCCCCCCCACCAGCCTCTGCCTTCTCAGAGGCACTAGAATTTGTCTTTGTTCCATTTGCAATACACACAGGACTAAGCTATTAATCATGCCACAGGCCAGGCTGCACAGCACCTCTGGAATAATGAATTACCCAGCTCCTGCCAAAATGAGTCACCCATGGCCGCGAAGGAAACTTTATCTCTCCCTGGCTCTCTCCTCATCTTGTTCCTCCCTCTTCCCTTTCTTGTCTCCTGTGATCGGTCTTGCCAGCTGTAACTGGAGCATTTTCTCCTGTATTTAAGATATGAAGTATCTTTGGTACTCGCTAGTGTATCCAAAGGCTTAAACAAGGCCAGTCAAGGACATTTATGGCTTTCTAGCATGGGTGGTTAAGTGAAGCTTATAAGCAGCCTTGGGTATATATGGCCAGAAATATAAATGTTCCTTTTGGAAAATAAGAGAACCCCAGCAAAAATCCTAATGATGATATCAAATGAAGTCTTAAAGAAGCAGCAGTATTTGCCTGGTAATGTGACTTGACAAAGGATGCACTGGTACTTGGGGTGGTGTGACTTTTACTCTGAAGGGGGAACTTTGGGAGTTTGGGGAAAAACAGCCCAAGAGGAAATGGTGTGTTCTAAATAAAAAGAAGCATCTCTTCACTGACTCTTTCTGCTTCCTGTGGGATAAACCCAGGATCATCTAACAAGTGAGACCTCTCCATTTCCCCGTTGTCAAAATGTCCTTCCTCAAATTATTGCTGTGTATATATTATCACTTAGGAATGCTTTTGGCTGTACTTATGTTTCTTACACCAGCAGATGTCTAGAGGCAGGCAGCCCAGGGCATGAAACTGGGTTGCCTCACTGAATCTCAGCACCTTCAGTCACTGTAGACAAAGTAGGAATCTGAGACCGTTATTTTATGGGCCCTTGATAAGAACAAAATAAAGGTGAATACTCAATTTTTCTTACATTGTGATGATAGTTGAAAAGAACTGGCCTAGGAGGCAGGAGGCCCAACTCTGTTCAAAACCAGGTGCTGAGTTGCTTTGTGATCTCCAGTAAATCACTTCCCCTCATCTGTGAAATTAAAGTTTGGACTAGATGATCTGTAAGGACCCTAGCGGCATAGGACACTTAGGTTTTGCTCCTTCCTCTTATGTGTCTTTCATTTGCTCATTCATTCAACAAATATTTACTAATGGGTCTACTACGTGCCAGGCACTGTTCTGGTGCTTGGAATATATCAGTCAACAAAACAAAGATCTCTGCCCTGTGGGTCTTATGTTGTGTGTTGGAGGCCAGGGATACAAACAGTAAACACAAAATGTAGGAAATTAGTGATGACTAACACATAGTATGTTAGAAGATGATCAGTGCCGTGTCTGGGAGACAAACATGGGAAAGGGGCAGGGGGATCAGCAGTGCTGGGGGAGGTTGCAGTGGTCCTCACTGAAAACACAGGATCTGAGCAAAGACTTCGTGGAGGGGAGGGAGTCAGCCTGCACATGGGGGATGGTAGGGGCGGGAGGACGGCTGCAGGCAGAGGGAACAGCAGAACAGGGACCCACAGGCAGAAGTGTGCCTGGGGCTTCTGAGCATTTTCTTCCCCCATCTGAAGGCTGATCTGACGCATTCTCACCCCAGCACTGTCCTTTCCTTTCAAGTGTGCTGTCTTTCAGACCAGCTCAAAGATTCCTGGAGTTGAAGACTATTTAAGTTTGAACCTCCAGTGGCAGTTAGGGGTAGAAAGCCTGGCTTCCACCTTCATGCTTGTGCCTCATTTCATGCTACAGAAACATGCAATTCCTAGGGATATTGGGAAAATGTTCGTAGAACCACCAAAGCCTGGAGATACTGGAGTCTTATCAAAATAGCACAGGGACCTTTCAAGCTGACCCACCATTTCCAGATAGTTCCCACTGTGCTTCCTGCTCAGTGCCTCTTGCACAGTGAGTGACTCAGTATTTTCATCATGTTCCCAGACAGTTGTCTTTGTCTATCATCCAAAAAAATCCCAGGTACAAGAGAGCTGTGTTTTTATCTCTACCAGTTACTGCACCTGAGCCAACCTGTAACAGATGGGCTGGGCTTTCCCCATCAGCTCCGGAAATGACCTCACCAATCAAGGCCAAGAGCCTGTGGGAAAACTCAGTCATTTGCTAGGCTGTGCAAACTGGGTGTGTGTGTGTGTGTTTAATGGAGACCTTTGAATACATCTTGAAATATGTAAACAAAAAGAAAGGACAAAAATTGCCTTCTTGAGTTGTGTTGTGTGCGGACAAGTTAGTTGGAACCTGAGGAGAGTGATATTGTGAAGGCGTGTCATTATCCCCAGTTGAGCTGAGAACTGGTAGCATTCAAAGAATCCCTCCTTGGTCCTGCATGTGCCCCGGCCACCTGCTGTAAGGGAGGTTGCACTTTAGGCAAGAGGCTAGACCCCCTAAAAAGCCCCCTCCACATTATACAGACCGCTGTCCAAATACTGAAGAGGCCTGCGTGTCACTCGCAGGATAATGGAAAATTTAGTTCTAAGGAATGACTCAGCATGAATTTCATAGTTTTCTTCCAGTTAGAGCTCTTTTTCATATGACCTGGACATTTGCTGCATGGGAATAGCAAGAAACCTTAATTTTGATCTCCCTAATCTGAGTGAGTTACAGTTGAGAATTTCAAATAATGTACAAAATGCATGAGATATTTAAAATGAGAAGATAGTGAGAGTCTATATCAGAATGCGGGCCCTTGAGCCAACTTCTGTATTAAGTTTTCTTGCCAGTCTACTGGGAAGCTGAACAGCCAGCATCTCGTTGGGGTTTCCTAGCCTGGTTTTCCCCATCTCCTGATGTATCCCCTCCCATGCAATCTTTAGAGACCTGGAGCCATAGATACAGAGTGTAGGAGAAGCATATTGTTAGAGATGGAGATTGCACAGGCAGAAGTGGGGGCATTGGCTTAGAAAATTCTGATCAGAGTATTAAAGTCAGTCTGAGCACAAGAAAGATCATCGGGGTATGAGAATCTCTATTTTACACAGTAGTCTACTTACAAAATAGAAGATCTTTGTTCATCTATTTAGCAAATATATTGAGCACCTGCTACTGGGACCACCTCTGTTCCAAGTGCTAAAGATACATCAGTGAACACTGCCATTGAAAGATCTTCCTGTCCTCATCTTACTAGGTTAAAAACCATATGAAATTGCTGCTTTTGTAAGTTAAAAACAATGGACTCTAAATAACGCCAACTATATGATCCAGACATTCCACTCCTAGGTATTTAGCAGTGTTTGCAGAAGCTTTATATGTAGTATCCCAAACTGGTAATAATCCAAATGTCCATTAACAAGTGAATGCAAAAACAAACAGTGCTATGTCCATACAGTAAAATACTACTGAGCAATAGAAAGGAGTGAAGTACTGATACATGCCACATCACCGATGGACCACAAAAACAGTATCCTGAATGAAAGAAACTGGATGCAAAAGACCACATATTGCATGATTCTGTTATATAAAACTTTGGAAGATACAAACTAATCCATAGTGACAGGAAGCAGATTAGTGGTTGCCTAGGGACAGGGGCGTGGGGTTGGGGACTGGAAGGAAAGAGGGAGGGACTACAAAGGAGCAAATGGGATCACTGGAGGCTGATGGATATGTTTACTGTCTTGATTGTGGTGAGGAGTTCACAGGTGTATACATTGTTATACCTTATCAATGGCACACTTCAAATACGTGCAGTTTATTATATGACAACTAGAGCTCAATAAAGGTCTTAAAAACATTCAAATAGCAGCAATTTCGTGTAGTTCAATTGAAACATAAACTTTAGTGATGAATTAAGTTTTAGAACCTTATATTCATTTTTCATACTTTTAATAGAACCTTATATTCATTTTTCATACTTTTATTGAAAACCTACATGTCAGGCACCCTGAAAGATATCGTCAGTGAAAAGTGGGTGAGGCTGATTCTGCTTTGAAGCTTGGAGGGAGAAATAGGTTTAGAAACAGACAACTGAATGACTTTCCCACAGGCAGTTCTACAACAATTACCAGGTTTACCCACGTTGTCCTTTATCGACTGGATTTATGCGTGTGTCTCTGCCTTCCCTCTTTCAGAGCGACTTGTGGTCCTTGGGAATCACCGCCATCGAGATGGCAGAAGGTGCTCCACGTAAGTACTTTCCTCTGGGGTGAAATCTGTTGCTGGTCCTCTCTGTGGGTACTGGAGGTTCCTTGCCAGAAGCTGCAGTTGCTTTACTTCTGCTACGCTGAGCCCTGCATGGATCTGAGCTGGCATATGTAGAAAGCAGAATCATCTGACTTAGATCAGCCAGGAAGCCATTCATTGCAGAGCTGCCTGAGGGTCTCGTTTTTATGAGGAAAAAGGAAGAAAAGGAAAGCAAACTTTGGGAAGTCTTGTTGTTGTTGGTTTTTTTTACAGATTCAATGTGTGATTTATTCTTGAACTACTCTTCATCTGACATAAAACTGTGACAAACCCACAAAGACTATATACTCCAACATCTGAAAATTCAAAACTGATTTTCAGTGCACGGGTCATGCAAATGCTGGTACTCAGTTGCTATCACTCCTCTTAAAATACCGATGTTTAGAATTTTAGATTTTCCTGCTAATATTTGAGGCAGAGGGCTCTGGCAATCTTGAGTACCTCTCAGATCCCTTAAGATCTGGAGTACTGGCACTGCAGAGGTCTCTGTTTGCCACTGGTGGCCGTGAGAAGGTGCCTCACAGACTTCATTCAAGAGGCAAAACTGACCTAGGGCCCTGGCTGCAGCAACAGCACTGCGGCTGCGCCTCCCAGGGGCCACTCCCCATCAGTGACTGACTGCGGCAGGGACCCTTTCCTGGAAGACACAAGATTCCTTTGTGGGCGACTTTCACTCGAGTAATCTTCTACGGTGTAGTCGAACTCACCTTGGACTGCAGGACAGTCTGGGACACTTCCACCTCCCTTTTGTGTCTCTGCTGTACTCAGGTCAGACATGCATAGCAATCCGATGACACCGCCCACCCTGTCTGGCTCACTCCCTTTTTCCTTTCACACAGGACTTTCCCCCAGCCGTATATTCACATGTTAACACTGCCCTGTTGCCTGCTTCTCAAAGGACCAGGGCCTAAACAAGTCTTTATCTGCATGCCAGGTCATTACACTCCTGACTTTTTACCTTCAGGTTATCATCGTCTCCTTATTTCTCAGTCTCGAGTTGGTAGAATTCCTTTGTACTATGATTAATTTGGAGTGTCCATAGACAAAATTCCCCTTATTCACAATGTTAACAGGCATTTATGAATCAGAAAAATAATATATTGCAATTTGAAAACCATATTATCATTCTGAATGAGTTGTAGACAGGGCTAAAAATAAACTTCTATCCACAGAATCCTTTGGCTTTTAGGGAACATATATTCTTATTCTGAGTACAAAGAAAAAAAACACTCCCAGATGTTTGAAAAGTAAGCTAATAAAATACTTTGACTAAAATAAGAATGTATGAGTATTTTTACTATGAACTATAATGTCATGTTTACAAATTGAGATATTTTTATAACTTCGTTTTCCTGCCAGGCTGTTTGACTTAATCCTCTGTTGTCCTGGGGCTATTGAATTTAAAAACAAAACAAAACAAAAATCCATCATGAAACCTGAAAAGCCGTTCAGGATATCTGGAAGCAGAGAGAATGGTGTTCTGGGCTAGTGCTTTAGACTCCAAAAATCTTTATATATAACACTGTCTGGATGAGCCTTCAGTGTATAAGCAATGGACTGTCAATTATCAAATATATTTTATTTTATGGCTTAGGCTTTTACTAATTAAAAATAACTTGCCATCTCCATCATAGTTGTCATCTGATGCTGTTTACTTTGAATGGGTATTTACAGCAAAGACGGCTGGTTGTTAAACCCTTTAACTTAGTTTCCTTAAATATGAAGTAAAATTATATTCTCTGGAAATGTTAACAATATCTATTTGAAACGTGTCATATTTTAGGAGACTCCTTTAATTAGACCTCAGCTCTTTTAAGTGCTCACCAAATGGAAGTGCTCACCAGTTACGTGTGGACTCAAGGGGTCACTTGGCAGCATTATCTGCACAGCCAGGACGGGCTGGCCTGGGTTTGGTGTCCTAACTGGAGCGGGCCCTTGTTTTTGGTCTCTTGCAGCTCTCTGTGACATGCACCCTATGAGAGCTCTATTCCTCATCCCCCGGAACCCAGCGCCGCGGCTGAAGTCTAAGAAGTGGTGAGTTTGGTCTTGAGTGCTTTGCAGATCTAAGGGTGAGGTGTTCCTGCGATTTGTGTTTTGGATTAGCTCAAACCCCTAGGTCCTGCTGACAGGATTAGATTTATATATACTAAGAATTGGTGGATGACTTTCCATATGCTGTCATTCATCTTAAAGTACATGTTGAGTACCTACTCTTTGTACAACAAAATCCCTCACCTGCAAGGTAAGGAGCTATTGGCTAAAATGGATAGTGGAGCCCAGTAATAACATGGAAGTGCTTTGATTTATAACCCCAGTGTTATCTTTCCTGGCAGCTCAGAATATCTTATCAGCGAGGGTGATAGTTTATAGAGAGTCAGCCCGTTAGGTTGGCTGACTTCTCTTCTATTCCTTAAGACAATACTTCCCTAAGTGCATATCCACACCTAGCAGTGTTGGAGATGATTTCTCTGGCGCGTGCATGGTTTTACTATTGCTTTCTCTTTATGGCAGGTGATACTAGCTTTTTATTTGGGGCAGTGTTGTAACCTATCGTTTTAATAAGCATATTCATGTAAAAAGGTGATTTCACTGAAAACTACTACTACACAAACAGTGTGAGTGTACGGCAGAATTGTGTTGATCGTGTATGGTTGACTGAAGTTTGGGAAACAGGGTTCCTCAGGTTCGGCCAGCAGTTGGACTTTGGGCTATTTTGTGTACTTACATAGGGATCTTATTCTCTAACAAAAACCCATTGCTGCTCCATTTTCCCCTATGGAAAGGGTATATGCTCCCTGACATATTCTTGAATCTCTGGTTCCTCTTGCACTGGGGCCAATTCCTTCATCACTTGTGACCTCCTATCTTTTTCTGGAGACAAATCCCGGGCAGTTAAACCGTGGAGGGACCCAACCCTCCTGCCCCTTTTCACACCACTTCATGACCAGGCCCTTGACGGGACCCCCTTGTGCTCCGCATCCACTGCCCACCCACGAGTTCACCCCAACCTTACGGAGAGCAGCCTGAGTTCATACCAGTCATCTAGCGATGACACAGCAGCCCTGGTGGAACAAGAGAAAGGCACGCTGAGCTGAGAGGGAGAAGGAGAAGGACCCAACCCTCCTGCCCCTTTTCACACCACTTCATGACCAGGCCCTTGACGGGACCCCCTCGTGCTCCGCATCCACTGCCCACCCACGAGTTCACCCCAACCTTACGGAGAGCAGCCTGAGTTCATACCAGTCATCTAGCAATGACACAGCAGCCCTGGTGGAACAAGAGAAAGGCACGCTGAGCTGAGAGGGAGAAGGAGAAGGCAGCCACGGAGTTGCCAGGGGCCGGCCAGGGGGAGAGTGGAGTTGCTATTGGTAACAAGGCGGCCGAGTGAGCGTTCCCTGCCACTCCTTCCTCTGCAGAGAGTCACTGTGGTGAGAGGCACTAGCCTCTCCCCAGCAACAGGCTTCCATTGGGCGTCGCAGGGCATGTGATCTGTAGAGTACCCAGAGGCTCTGCTTCCTCTCCCCTCCCTGGATCAGACTCCCGGGGAGAGGAGCCAGTCCAGCACTACCGAGGCTTCTGTGGGGTTTCTGCTTGCCCTTCGTGCCAAGCTTCCCAGTGGAGCCTGCTGGATACTGTAGGCTCCACTCACCCTGTTCCCTGCCCTATCTTCCCCTGCTCTCCCTTCGCTGCTGCAGGACAGATATTTTGAGCTTTTCCCCAGAGAAGGACAAACTGGCCATCCACAGATGTGTATTAATTGTCAACACTTAAAAGCCTGGTGATAGAGCATTGCATTTAGATTTCTGGACCTTTCTGCAAAGATGCAGCAACACTGCCGAGTGGCTTCTGCTCCCTTTTAGGACAAGAGGTTGTCCTTCTGCCCCAGCTGCCTCCTCTCCCCAACCCTGAAGCCTGTGCACTGGTCATCACACTTGTCCTGTTTGCATCCTAACCCAGGTCTGCACCACCCCTTTGCATAACCTGCCTGGCCCCACAGAAAAGTGAACGAACAGCCCCCGCACTCCAGCATTGGTTTTCATTGATCCTGCCCCAGAAAACACCAACTCTGCACTGACCTTGTTTGTTTGAGAAATGCAGGCATTGGGGAAAATGCAGGTTTTTTTCTGTTTCAAACCTGGACAATGAGAACTGATTTTGATGGTGCTAGAGGGAGCTGGGGACTTCATGAAGCAGAAGGAGGCCAGGCCCCCTTCCCTGCCTTGTAAGGGCAGTCAGGTAGGAGCGGGAGTCGGGAGTCCAGTGCTGTAGGACGGGGAAGGAGAAGGGACCTGACTGTTTGAGAGTGAGGGGGAAACAGACGGCCTGGTGATGTGCCATTTCTCACTTAGATCCCAGCCCTTATTCAGGTGGTCGTGCAGCCTGCATCCATGCGACACTTGACGCTCGACACGACTCCTGTTCCTTGCAGTAGAACTCCAGTTTATAAGTGAGAATATTTAAGCACTTCAGAGTTCTTGATCTTAAAAGACCAGGTCCAAAGTGATTTGAAAGAAGTTAGGGTTTCCTTTAGTAAGCTCTAGTGTTTGGGAGGAAATGAGACAAACATTTTGTTTATTTTTCTTCTTTTGCTTATTTGAAGGAGAGGACTGCCCCTCCCAACCCAAAAAACCCCAAACTCCAAAATGTTTTTTTTTTATTTCCAGCTCTTCTCTACCTAAATGAGTTGTCAGGTCAAGTGCACTGTTTTCAGTGTAGGTATCAACACATTACCCTGGGGAGAGGGGGTGCCATTGTGGTGGAAACAGGCCTTGAACTCTTCTCATTATAAGCATTCAGTTGAGGGTCATTTTCAACTAACATTACCGAGTCTACGACATACGAGGCATACACCAGCCTCTTCACGTGAACACTGTTTTCCCTGTGCCTTTAAGATCTGGGGAAGAAAGGCAGTAGCACAGCTCTTTCCCCCTGCGTTGTGGAAGGAAAGGAAACCACCCCCACCGACGGGAGCCTGGCTCTTCCTTCTCCCCTACCGGTGTGAGCAGAAGCTTCCCTCTAAGGGAGTCCTGAGGTCTGGGTGCTATCAAATGCTCAGGCCACTCAGCCCTTTAACAATGAGGTCTCTGGGAGGATTATTACCTTAGTTGAATCAGAGGAAACCAAGGCTGCTGTCACCCTCCATCTCCATGTCACCACCAGCAAGGGAACAGTAAGGCAAGGACTGCCATTTCCTCCTCCTGTATCTTTCTCATGGGTGGATTCAACCATGAGGGTAAACCATCTTCTTCAAGAAATTTCCTCCTCCCTTCTCTAGCCTGCTCATCCACCTCGCCTGCCCTCAGGAGTATTCTTAGCACCAGAGCTTCCCTCCAGTGGTTTCTGGGGAAGGACGGGGATGACATTGTTCCTTTAAGAAGATGGTCAGTCTGTTCTTTTCCCACATACCCTTTACATTTGAAGAGTCCACACAGGCAAAGCAGCATCTGTTGAGATTATTAGCAAAATCCTAACTGCTTATATATACAAGATCGCCCTGGTCCAAACCACACTTGCTCCAGATGTAGACGTCGAGGCCTAATGAGACTGAGTGGCAGATCCAGACAGAGTCCTGGGCAGCTTCCTGGGAGAGCCAGCCTGGAGCCCACCCTCTTGCTTTCACTCCAAAGCTTTCAGTCACCCCTGTTCTTTGATGATACACCAGTTCTGATTCTTGCTGGGTTGTCAGCCAGTTTTGTTTTAAGATATGACAAAGCTTTTGTGTGTGTGCATGCATGCACACCCTTTAAATGAAATTATAATACAGAACAAACATCAGAAGATATTTCAGATAGACTGAATTTGCTAGTAGCAGCGTGACTTTGGACTTTATTAAAATCAAAACCAAAACTGCTATACAAACTTGAAATTAACCTTCTTTGCACGGTCTCCTTGGAGATAACAGTCCTGTTGACTCTTCCTGCTAACCTATCTAACCCAAATAAATATATGTGTAATAATTCCCTTAAAGAATGCTATCTTTAACAAAAGTGGGGAATAAACAACTTCTAATTTCTGCTCTCCAGTCCTGAAGGCAGCTGCTCTGTTCCTTAAGCCTAATGACGATCAGAGGTTGCTGGGACATTGTCATCATAGTCATAGTCATAATAATGACAATAGCAAACACATATATGGCATTTATGGTACCAGACACTGTTCCAGGTATTTCGCATGAATTAATCATCAGAATGTTCTTTTGCGATAAGTACTAATAACATCCCCATTTGCAGCTGGGGAAACTGATGCACAGAGAAGTTAAGTAATTTACCCCAAGTCACATAGTCAGTAAGTGATGGAGTCCAAAGTAGAGAAAGGAGGGTGGTTCTGGGAAATACGGCAGGGCCAATGCAAATTTTAAAGGTCAGATTGCATTTAGGGAGTTTGATGATTACAGAAAACTTTTAGCCCAACTGGTTATAATGGTTAATGTAATAATCTTTCAAGCATTTTGAATTCTCCTAGCCCAATTTAACGTATAAAGACAATAGATGTGGGAAGATATAGTGTTTGGTGGCAGAGGCAGTAGAATTAGTGCCTCAGACTGTAAGCACCAGGCATTAACACTGATCTCTCCATGACAACCCGTGGGAAATTAGTATCACTATCCTTACGTGGTTTTGGGTTTTTTTTTTCCTAAAGAGACAAAACTAAATTACCAGCAGCAGAGATTCAGCAATAAAGTTATAAATGTACTTTAAACACATTAGAACGCTCAGCAAACAGCCAGGTACTTTTCGACATAGGTGAAGTGTTTTTGCTTTTAATTAAAAGTGTAATTAAGCATATTGATTCTTTGGTCATGCTAACTTAAATAAGAGACAATGAAGACTTGTTCTAAGTAAGCATTACTTTCTCTTCAAACGGTGCCATTTAAAGAAGACGTGGAATACATGACCAGCTTTGTAGATCTGCACACTGGGGCCCATCCTTTGGGCTCAAAGTTATTCTCTTAAATATCTCTTGAGGTGCCCTACACCAGGAGAGATACTGGGGAGAGAACTCTGGCAGCTGGCTCCTTTAAACTCCTTGAGCAATACTCCATCCTGTAGATCTGGAAATTTCTCTTACTGTTTTTGTAGATGTCTGTACTTCCTTTAAACTCCTTGAGCAATACTCCATCCTGTAGATCTGGAAATTTCTCTTACTGTTTTTACTGTTTTTGTAGATGTCTGTACTGGAAAATGGAGCATGCAGTCTATTGTCTGGATTTCATTTTTAAAATTGGATACGATTTCTTTTATTTATCATCCTCTAATTAATAGTTAAGCACTTTATAATAAACAAGCACATCTTCCTGGTTGCCAGCAAGAAAAAGGGAACTGCCATTCACATTCCTTGTGAATATTTAATAGCTTTCTGTCTTAATTTGTTTTTGTTTTTATCTTTTTAATACTGATTTTTCTACCTAGAAAAGCACTGTGTGGAATTTGTCTATTTCCTTACACAGGTTAACCTTGTTCTCTTCAGTTTATTCCTTAGGAGAGTTCATTTGATTATTTTTTTGCAAAGTCTCTCCTTAGATGATATCATATTTATGCCTCCACAGGTTTATTCGATTGATCTGAGACAGAAAACAGCATCTGCTCTCCACACCTCCCTCTCTATCCCTCACGAGCACAGATTTGAAGTTAGCCATATTGCAGTTCTTGCCAAGAACTTTCATCCACACATTCATTCATTCATCAAACACATCCAGCAGGTAGCGTGCACACCTCCCTCTCTATCCCTCACGAGCACAGATTTGAAGTTAGCCATATTGCAGTTCTTGCTGAGAACTTTCATCCACACATTCATTCATTCATCAAACACATCCAGCAGGTAGCGTACTCATGATACAGAGATGACTCGGCACATCCTGCCACTGCTGAGAATTCCCAGTGTGCAAGCAGCACGGATGTGAGCTGAGGAACTTAACGGGGATGCAGAGTGTCCATGCTTATTTCTAGTCCACAGTCCTGATTCATCCTGGGGTGACCCTAAGCACAGTAGGTTACATTTGTTCCTATGTAAAATATTTTAAAAGCTTGAACGTAGCTTAGAAATATAAGGGAAAAAAATACCAATAATTCAGCACTTTAAGGACATGGAATAAGGTGAGCAACTACTTTGACCTGGATGGTAGAGAGCAGTGCATATTTGCATTTGAATCTTGAACATGTTCTAATTGTGTTCTTTGTGGTGAGGATACCTCTCAGGCTTGAAGCATATATATAAATATATACACATATATGAAGTATATATGTATATATGAAGTATGTATGTATATATGAGTATACGAGTGTGCAGGGCCTGCTAGGAAGCTTGGGAAAGACGTGCTACTGGGATCCACTCCTGTAATTCCACAGTGCACCATGGGAGGGCGACAAAGAGCACAAAATGGATTCCTTAGGCTCTGGGCAGGGTGGGGAGGGAGACCAACGTTTTGCCTAGGTCTCTGGGAAGTGGGGAGGGTGAAGTGCTGAGCTGTCAATGCAGTGCCATGGAAAGGCATGCTATAGATCTGTGAGCTTAATTATTTATGACTCTGGACAATTTGTTGGAATTTCAGCAAGAACATGCATGTCCAAATCATAAATCTTGGCTAAAGTCCACCGTTAATTTCTACCGCATTGTAGACTTGCTGCCCTAATCATTGATATTGGGTCTCTCACCAGCTCTTCCCTGCCCCTGTGCGTATCTGCATAGGGTTTATCTTTGAGTAAATAGAGCCTTTCTAGAGGGAGATAAATTTGCTTCTGGGTATGAACTTAGTCCTTTAAAGTTAAGTTTCCAAGTCTCTGGGCTGACAGCAAAGATACTCATACATCCTGTTCTTATTAATTGAAAAGCAAAGTTCAAAAATGATTTTGAAATTACCAGTTAAAAAATTTGCCATGAACTTTGATTAGGCGATTTTTTTTAACATGTAACTTCAGAATCACTTTTGAACTTTGCTTTCTAATTAATAACCCCAATTAACTCATGAGTCATGGCTAAAGTTTACCATTAATTTCCACCACATTGTGGACTTGCTGCCCTAATCATTGGTGTGGTGTCTCTCACCAGCTCTCCCCTGCCCCTGGGCCTGTCTGGCAGAGGGTTTATCTTTGAGGAAATAGTGCCCTTCTAGAGGGAGATAAATTCGCCTTCAGGGTACTATGGCTAGCTGAGCGGTGGGTAGGGACAAGGTGAGGAAGGTTGGGGAGTGGGAAGGGAGAAATGGAGAGGACGTGCAATTTCTTTTCCGTCTCCCATTCTTTTTGGTCTTCTGTGTAATGTCATGTATAAACTGTGTACAAATGTTTCCATGTGCATAACTACCATATGTTACCTCAACTGTGTGTTGATGGTGCTGGTGCATCTGAACCCCATTGTTACCTAATACAGTGCTAGACCTATTTTGTGATTGGTTGATTCCTATCCTGGCCTATCAGACCTTTTATTTATTTTTTTAGTTCTAGCATTTCAGAAAATATGTCTGTTTTTCTTTGGATTGTCCTTTTATTTGTGGATTCATCTCTTTTATTTGGCAGGTCAAAAAAATTCCAGTCATTTATTGAGAGCTGCTTGGTAAAGAATCACAGCCAGCGACCAACAACGGAACAACTGATGAAGCATCAGCTTATACGAGACCAGCCTAATGAGCGACAGGTCCGCATTCAACTCAAGGACCATATTGACAGAACGAAGAAGAAGCGAGGAGAAAAAGGTTAGATGCACATTTGTATTTCAGCAAGAGAAACAGAAGAGGGAGTGAATTACGGGCTCTTCCTGTGTTTGGAAGTGACGGTGGGTATTTCAAATGGGCCTGCAGTATCTTTTAGTGTTAGGGGCCACCTCTGAGATCACAGCCTCTGGGCACCGCTGGAAAGAGACTGCTGAAGTGGAGTCATTCCTGAAGAAATAGAACTGCAAGTAACATTACCTCTTCCGGGCACTGAACAAAGCCATGTTGAGTGATACCATGAAACGCTTTAATATGACAAGTGATTTTCTTAATTCAAATGAATATTCATGTTTAGAAGACTAAACATCTACAGAAGGCAGACAGCCTAAAGAAAAAATTCATCTAGTTGACATTTTTCTGTACTGACAGTCTTCAACATTTAAGTTTTTGTGCTCTGAGGCTCATTTCTAATTCAGTTATTTAGAAGTCAGAAAGAATTTCCTTGTGGTTGCACAGATATAAATGATCATTAGGTTGCCAGGCTTGCTATTTGGAACATCAGATTTTGAGCTGAAGGTCACTTAATACGCTTCTTTATTATAGGTGCAAAAACTCATCTCTTCTGACTCTATGAATACAAACCTGGGGTCCTGGGACTGTGCCCTAGTTGTCTGAGTGGAGGTTTACAGTTCCTTACCTAGCATAGGAATTGTATGCTAATATTATATGTCAGAAGACATTGAGGTGAGCTGCCTAAATGCAGCAGAAAATGCAGGCTGGAGAAAAGTAAACCCAAGGTTGGATGAGTAAGGAGGAGTGCATTTTGTAGAAATGGCAAATGAACTTTGATTAGGCGATTTTTTTTAACATGTAACTTCAGAATCACTTTTGAACTTTGCTTTCTAATTAATAACCCCAATTAACTCATGAGTCATGGCTAAAGTTTACCATTAATTTCCACCACATTGTGGACTTGCTGCCCTAATCATTGGTGTGGTGTCTCTCACCAGCTCTCCCCTGCCCCTGGGCCTGTCTGGCAGAGGGTTTATCTTTGAGGAAATAGTGCCCTTCTAGAGGGAGATAAATTCGCCTTCAGGGTACTATGGCTAGCTGAGCGGTGGGTAGGGACAAGGTGAGGAAGGTTGGGGAGTGGGAAGGGAGAAATGGAGAGGACGTGCAATGAGGACTTTCTGGGTGGAGGGAAGGAGGGAGCAGCTGGTGGGGGAGATGACAGTGAGAGGCTGTGGGGCTGGAAAGGTGGGCATGAGGATGGGAGGGAGGTACATGGCAATGTCCTTGTCTTCGCTTCCCTCCTCTCCACATCAGTCCCCTTTTCTTCAGTTCAGAGGGAGTGATGGAGGCTGGCAGACCACACAGGATAGAGGCTGCTCTCCTTTCATTTGCATTTCCCTTTTTCTCTGCCTCCCTAATTCATACCCCTAACATGGGAAGGTGTGAGCTGGGGATGGGGATGTGAGCAGTGTGGGAGTTGAGACTGGATTGTAGAGGTGCGATCAGCAGAGGGCTAAGGTAAGAGGAGAAATCCTCAGTGAAGGCACTGGAGAGGGTTCCTTTTTCTGCAGCTAGCCACTGGGACTGAAAGGAAAGTGTGTAATCAAGGTAGACTCGGGAGTGGGAGGTTTTGAGGCTAAGCCAAAAAAGGAGACCCATCTCCAGTAGCTAGTGGGTAGACAGGGATAAGATGGCACTCAGACCCCAAGGGGCTGGGAGGCCAGCCCAAGCTGGAGGAACTAGGCGTGAGGAGAAAGGAGGCCAAGGTCACAGTAGGGAGATCAAGGTCAAAAGTTCCAGGACCGGTTTTGCAACTGTCCTTTGTCAGTGGTAGTCTTGGGCCACTCTGTGAAGTCAAAGTTTGTAAGGGAACATTTTAGGGCAGTGTGTCAGACATGCAACAGTTAAATGCCAATTTCTTTAGGAAGGGAATTTTATTATACTCTGGATATATAAAGTATATTAAGAGTTCAGACTCTGTTTTTAGATTCAAATTCTGGGTTCACATTCCAGCTCTGCCCCATAAGTTATATGAAATTTGCCCCAGTTTTCTCATTTTTAAAATATGGTGGTTGCCTGGCAGCGTTGCAAAGATTAATGAGATAATGCATGTAAAATGCTTAACACTCAGTAAACATGAAGTGTTCTTATTTAGGCAATTCTTTATTACCTGTAATTTTTCATTACTACTCAGCAGTACTTTCTGAGATCTCATGACCCATCTCTCTCTGACCCGTGAAAAAGAGTGAGTAAAGCTTCTGCCTCCAGTTGTTTTCACATTTTTGGGCACAAACTCAGAAATGCGACTCAGAACTCATCGTGCCAGGAAGATAGGCTGTTTTTAATGTGTTCATTCTCTGCAGAGTGGAAGAATAAGATTCTTGGAAATTAACTGTATTCAAGAGTTATGTGATAATTTAAGAGATCTAATTCTGTTTAGGATTAGGGCCACCGGAATCCCAGTTCTAGTCTTATTTTTGCTCCCCAAGGAAAAGTATTTGATCAAATGAGATCTTATCCCATTTGCTCAGTTTGATCAAATGACCTAATTTGCTTCTTCTAATACTTTTTTACTCTCATGGTAACTCTTTCTACAACCAGCTCTTGGTAGAATCAAGTAATTTTACTTCGCATTGCTTTATTTTTTTCAATCTGATATTTTTTCCTCAAGATATGTTGACACATGCTAATTTAACCCTGTAATACAAAAGCGATCAAACCAGATTCTGGTAAAGTATTAAAATTGAGGAGCCTGACAAATGAAGGTTTTACGCTAGGGGGTAGAAGTAATTGGAGTAATTATGTGCTTCTTTCCCTTGCTTTAATTTCCTTTATTACATAAAATTTCTTTTTTTTTTTTTCATTTTGTTCTCGGATTTTTTTTTTAATTATTTTTTAAAATTAATTAATTAATTAATTATTTATAATTGGAGTAATTATGTGCTTCTTTCCCTTGCTTTAATTTCCTTTATTACATAAAATTTCTGCATTTTACTTTGAACTCTATTTATCCATTTTGGGAAAGTTTGGAAGATTAAACTTGCAGTATAGGGTATTAAAACACTTTTTGCAGATTATTTACATTTTGGCAAAATAATAATTTAAAAATAAGTAGACTGAAAGCTTCATACATATCTAAATGTATGAAGCTAATTTGTGCTTTTAAAAAATACATCACACTTTTGGCTTTCTTTTGTTATCTCTTTAATGGCTAAATAGTGTGAAAGGCAAAGCATGTTTATCAAATCCAAGTTCTCACCATGTGACTGCTGCCTCCTGGTGGTAACATCACCAAATTGCAGGTTTAGTTACTTTTTAGGGATACTGAAATGTCTTCAAGGTTGCAATTTCTAACCCACAGCTATGAAGAGATAGCAGTAATGTGACTTGCTTAAAAGCTCCTCCTTTGCTTAAAAGCTCCTCCGAGGGCTCCCCACTGCCCACAGAAAAGTACTCAGCATGACATTTATAAGGATCAGTGAGCCATTTTATCTGTGCTGGCTTTTATCCCTCATCTGCTTTTCCCACACCCAGACACCTAGCCACTCACAATTCATTGTTTCCTGAACATGTCATGCATTGTAATAACTGCCAGCCTAACTCCTATGGGTATGTTGGTTGGAATGCCCTTTGCCCACCACTTCCAGCTGCCAGCTGCCTGGAGAAGGGCCACTCACCTTCCAAGGCCAAGCTCATTTTCTCCTCAAAGACTTCACTCTCCCCTCCTCCATTATGACCAGTGGATCTAGTGGCTCCTTTCTCTGACGTATTGTTGCTCTTTTAACGTACTTCCATTTAGCATATAATATGTTGGAAAGAGCACTGGTTTTCAAGTTGGAAAAGTTCTGGATTGAATTCTAAATCCAAATCCCAGGTTGACTTTTTATTGAGATGACATTGGTTATAGCATGTAACCTCTTATAATCTCAGTTTCCGCTTGAAAAACAGGCATTATTTTAGAGGATCATTATGAGAAATAAATGAGAGAACATAGGTAAAGTATCTAGCATTAATGACTGGCATGGGAGACACCCAATAAATATTCGTTCCCTTTCTTCATAATCAAGGAGGCTTTGATTATTTAATTGTCTCTCCCATTAGATTCTGATCTCCTCCAAAGTAAAGACTTAATCTTATTTATTCTTACATGTTAACTTGCTTAATGTTTTACTGAATTAAATGAATGTCTCTAGTGGGTCAATCAGAACACATATTAACTATATTTTTTAATAGCACCTTTTTTCAAAAGTGTCTTTGTGGTATTTACCAAGGTAATCTAAAGGCAATTTGTGAGTCCATCTAAATCATAATAAAATCCTACTTTAAAAATGATTAATACCATCAATACATTAATAAGTTTAATATGGGTGGCTTGATAATGGGGGTTAAAACAAACAGAAAGGTTTTTTTTCCCCCATTCTTTATCTTCTCTGTTATGTGAACACTAGGCATTGAGGACAGATATCTAGAATCAGCTGGGACAATCTCAAATGTGGTTAGTTTCATTTATTTAAAGCCAGCTGGTGGAAACTGTCTAATCCCAATCCAGGAGGCCTGGAGCCTGTCCCAGCTCAGTGTGAGCCACAACTCTTTGGGCCTCAATTTACTCACATATAGAAGGAGTGGGGTTGGGCTTTACTGGGCTGTAGCATCATCTTATGCACTGACATTCTGTGGGTCTCTCTTCAGATGAGACAGAGTATGAGTACAGCGGAAGTGAGGAGGAAGAGGAGGAAAACGACTCGGGAGAGCCCAGGTAGGAGAGCAACACCCAAGTCTTCTAATTTTCATGTTCTGAATTGCACTTGTGTGAAATTCACTTTCCTTTTGATTTATAGGTTCATTTTTAAGAATCCACCAGGGTGGTCTTATTTAATTTACTGCCCACAAACATACTCATTAGTTTGGGAAAATTTCCCTAGGCAGACTCTTCCCAAAAAATGGAAATCAGCATATTCTTTATCTTGTCCACCAAGATTTATAGTCTGCACCATAAGACCTTGTTTCCTCCCATATACAAATTCAGAATGGGTAGGAGGCAATTATCTGGTGTTGAAGGACTAAAAGTACTTAAAACTGCAACTTTCTGGAGACCTAAGTGGTATTTTCATTACTTCATACCTTTGAGAAGCCCATTCAGGCAGCCACTGTCCTTGTCACATGCCATCCAGGGGGAAAAGATTTCCAGGCAATCAGATCACACTTCAGAGGTGAACTCTAAGTAGAGACTTTCATGCCATTCCTGTTGTCACATGTTGGTCCCCAGAATCAAGTGCTCATTGATTGTTGGCATCCCAGTGTCTTGAATTTCACTTGACTTTGATTGCGACTTTCTTCTAGTCTGTGTTTATGAATAATGAAGGCTGATGTGCTCACACTGCCAGGATTTCTCTTTCGTGAGAAAATTCAGCTGGCAGAGGCTTGGTGAGGCCAGGGGAACGGGCACCTACACCATGGTGCAGGCACTATAAATGGGAAGCAGAGGGTCACCAGGGTACGGGTTCCATCCTCTAGCCGTCCAGTGGGTGGAGCCTGATGCTCCAGAGAAGGACCAGTTCCCTACGGCTGAGGCACAGCTTCCTGACTAGGAAGGGGCCAGCTCAGCCACTACTGCCAGAATGAGCTAGATGCTGTGTGATCTTTTTTGTGGGGGGCTAACTCAGACCTACCAAACTGGATTCCTGCAAAGCTACCAGAAGAGGGTAGAACTGAGCTTACAGGGGCAGCCAGTTTTTCTCTCTTCACCTGCTACAGGATTTGTCAAGATCATAAATATACACAATATATTGGCAGCCCCAAGTTTAGCTGCATAAAGATGATGTCAAGTAGTGACATGGAAAATGAACATTCCCGTAAGGCAAAGGACCAAACACCCTGCTTTCAGAGAAGTTGTACGCTATTTTTCAAAAGCTGACCCAGATGGCTGTCAGCCTTCTGACCACTCTTTATAGAACCGAGAAACCCTGTCTTTCTAACACTTGTTAAATTGCATTGTTAGGAGTCACTTAGTGAGCCAACCCAGCTGTACATTAACACTTCAGTAATTGTAACAGGTCATTATATCGCACTGCAGATTATGTTCCAAGTCCTGTTTTTATGGATGCATCTAATTAATCTTCATGGAATCCTGAAAAGTAGAAAAGGATGATGGTCATCTCATTTTAGAAATGAGGTGACAGCTCAAGGGTGGTGACCGGGTCACACACAGCAATAATGACTGAGTCACTGATATAGCTCTGATCTCCTGACACTGATTCAATCTCAGTCAGTATGAATGGAGCATCCTGTGTGCATGTGAGGCTGGGCTCCCAAACCCTGTCACCCTTGCACAGAGCAAGTGGCCTATGTAGACAAGCATACTCATTTGGGTTCAATCTCAGTCAGTATGAATGGAGCATCCTGTGTGCATGTGAGGCTGGGCTCCCAAACCCCGTCACCCTTGCACAGAGCAAGTGGCCTATGTAGACAAGCATACTCATTTGGAGTTTGTTTTAGAGTTTTACACAAAGGCTGTAAGTTTTAGAGGAGACTTGTTAGTAAACTCCAAGCTGTGGAACGTCACAAACAAAGCCTTATTATGTCATTTTATGGCAGCATCTCACACAGTACACAAACCACACTCCAAAACAAAGCATTGATCCTCTTGTCAACTGCCAACAGCCCTGCTCCTCCCCCAGCAGCCCTCACTCCACTTCCCATCTCACACAGTACACAAACCACACTCCAAAACAAAGCATTGATCCTCTTGTCAACTGCCACCAGCCCTGCTCCTCCCCCAGCAGCCCTCACTCCACTTCCCGTCACCACCACCACCACTGCCAAGACAGAACCTGCAAGTCATCCCTCGCTCCACTCATCAGATCTACCACCAGGCGTCATTAACTCTATCCCCAAATGCTTCTTCCAGCCTCCCATTCTGGCTGAAGCCCCCAACCCCCAGAGCCACTACAGCAGCACACCAGCTGCTGGCTTTGCTTGCTCTGGCCGGACAGCGCTGCTGGCGTCACCTTCTGTGTGAGCCCTTCTGTGCATGGCTTTATCCCACCTGCCCTTCACTCTGCTGGGAAGACGGGCTCGTGTTCAGTTCCTTGAAGAGGCCACGCCGTTCCCACCACAGGCCTCCAAACTTGCTTCTCCTTCTTTTCCTTCTGCCTGGAACATTCTTCCCCCTGCATCCCCTGTCTCCTTCCAGGAGACGTCTCACTGACCACCCTTCTAACGTAGAGGCCTGAGTCCCCACCTCAGCACCCTGCAGCTGTCACTCTCAAACTGTTCCCCTTTCTTGTCTTCTATGGATCCCATTAATACCTGAAATTATATTATTTGCAATGATTTGTCTGTCTCCCCTACAAAAAAAGAACTCTAAAGAGAGAATTTGTTTGTCTGGTCTGCTACATAGCAGGTGCTCAGTAAATGTGTTTAATGGAGGTATTTCAGAAGGAAGCTTCTGGAAAGATTTTAGGGGCTAGATCTGAATAAACAGAAACCATTTCCCATCTCTTAGGCTTTAGCTGTTCAGCTGCAGTTAGATGGACTAGGGCAGCTGTAGGCCACCAGGGAAGTAGGTGGAGTTCGTTGATGTCCTCTTGCTCTTTCTGTCACACTCACATAATCATCTCCTTACAGATGAGGAAACTGTGGCTCACACAGACTCTAGGAATCAGTGAGTTGTGTTGAAGTCCCAGCTGTGTCCTCTGTGGCCAGGACAAGCCCTGTAAGCATGGGCAGTGCCACAAGTCCTGACTTGGGCTGAGCACACTTGGGTTCAGATCCTGGCTCTGTGTCGACCTGGACGCAGGCGTTTTCCCTCCCTGGCTCCCCGTGTGTTCAGGTGCCTGACCTGTGCCTCATGGGCTCTGGGGTGAGGGGTCCAGGAGGCGGTGTGGGGGAGGGAGGTCTGTGCTCATCCACGCAGGGTAGTTCCTTACTGCTCACGGTTGTGCACTCTCGTCGCCATTCTTAAGTGGGAAAATAAGCCAGTCTGGGGCTCAGGGCTTGCACGCTCACTGAAGTCTTTTGCCGTGTCTCCAGGGTGAGGCAGTGGCGTGGACGGTCCTGGAGGGGTGACGGCACCAGGCAGGTGACGTCCCCCTAGGGATGGAGACGCATGTGTCTGCAGCAGTCATAGTGAAAGGAGGCCGAGCGCCAGTCTGTCAGCCGGACTGTGGGGATCGCACCAGCGGGGGCTGAGGAGCTGCGCCCACGTGCGTGTCTCCCTCCCGCGCGGGGGGCAGTTGCTGGCCCCGCTGTCCTCCCGAGGCTCCCGGTGATCCTGACCGCTCTGTCCTGCCCACAGCTCCATTCTGAACCTGCCGGGGGAGTCGACGCTGCGGCGGGACTTCCTGCGACTGCAGCTGGCCAACAAGGAGCGCTCGGAGGCGCTGCGNCCCGGCCACCCCGCACCCCTGCACCCCTGCACCCCTGCACCCGAGGGTGTCAGCCGCGCTCGCCGCCCGGGCGTCCGCTGTGCGTCCAGCTGCCACCCTGGAGGCTGGGCCACCGCTGCTCGGAGCACACGCCCCTTGACTGCAGGGGAGAAGGAGGCCTGGCTGCTCCAGCAAACAAAGGCTCCCCTGGCTTTGGGTGGTGGCAGTGTGGTCACTCAGAAAAGCGGGCTAAGGCCTCCACCCCTTCAAGTCCTGCTCATGTAGCCCGTTCTCAGTGAGGACGTCCTGGGCACCCTCCTCAAAATCGCACCCCTAACTCCAGTATGTCCTGTTGTCCTTCCCTCTTTTCACCTTCAAATATACTCTCTATTTACCTTTATATGTCTGTATCTGCCTGCTAGAATGTAAGCCCTGTAAGGACAGGGGATTTTATCTCTTTTATTCCCTGATGTATTTCTAGTGCCTAAAGCAGCGTCTAACATATAGTAGGTGCATCATAAATATTTGTGGAATAAGTGAATTAATATCTGAGGGAACAAGTCAGTGACTGAGAGGTGAAATATAAGCGTTAACTAGACCACGGTGAATAGGCAGGTAAGTGAGATGCCAAACACAGAAAAGCAGTGCCTGCCTGCTCACACTCCTGAACACCCGGGAAAGCGTTTCACAAGTCCTTCCCCACACACCTCTCAGTACCCAGGGCCTGTCTGCCAGCTTGCGGGCAAAACCTGCCTTCGGCAGCAGACCTGCTGTCATCTGTGTGGGAGACTATACTGCCGGCCACAGTTTCCTGCATGGCTTGTCCTGGGCGAGGCTCTCACCCTCGTGGTTTTACACACGTTTATTAAACCCTCCTTCCCAGAACCTTGCCCAGATCTCCAAGGCCTCCTTCCTCTGCCAGATAAATCAAAGCTGCTAGACAGTCAGGAAGACAAGAGTGTGCAGCTATTGGGGAAGGTGGGCAGCAGATGAAAGTTCACTAACTGCACAGTAGTGGGGCAGTAATTTTACTGGGCTCCCAACCAGCTTGCTCCTCATTAACAGATTTACAGAGATTCACCTGCTTGTCAGGTGGCCACTGCAAAGTTAAGGGGTGGTGAATTGCAGACACCAGGAGCAGATTGCTTTTTAAATGGTACGTCAAGGTCCAGCCTCCTGGTTTAAATCAGCGAAGTCCTCAGTTCTAGTTTGCAATAAATCCCATCAACTTCATTATGTCCCTGGAATATTAGTTTCACACCAGCAACAATAATACCCAACAGTTGCAACTATTGAGTGATTTCTGTTTGCCAAGAACCAGGCAGGGTGCTTTGCTGATATCCAATATCTCATCCACTATCATTATCTCTTTGCTTATATGCATTATCCCTCATGCAAAGTGCAGGTAACTGGTCCCATGTTGCAGAGCTGGTAAGTGCAAAGCCAGGACTCACACCCGGGTGTCCCTGATGCCATCATCCATGCAGGTCCTGAGACAGTATGTGCAGGTACATAATCAGGACCCTGAATGTGATCCTCAAAATTGGAGTTTGGGGCTTCTGCAGGCAGCAGTAGGCTAGTAAAGCACTTCTCAATCTAAGAGTGAGTCTGTGATAGGGTCAGTGTGAGCAATGCTTGGCACGTGAGAAGTTTGAAGTCACTTGCTATCTGTTCTAGGATTTACACTCTAGTAGAGAGAGGCTCTGTAGTGCTGGGGGCAGAAACCTTCAAAGGAACCACTGGGGCAGGGCAAAGAGAGGTGTGGGTGTTAATCAGGCAGCTCTCAGAAGTGACCTACAAAGTGTAGAAGTGGGAGGTGCCTGCATGACCTCTGGTTACCTCCCAGCCTCAGACTGAAAATCTCAGACGGGTCCTTGCAGCTGCCCCGTGTCATCTCCTTCAGCCCACTCAGGCCAGTTGTAGCCTCTTGGACTGGCCTCTGGCCCAGGATCATGCCATTCCTTCAGTCTCTCAGGCCTCCTGAGGCCCTACTGTTTAGATCCAAGGCCTGCTCCTTTTGTCTTATGACCAAACCTCTATCACCAGCTGGGCACTCAGGCTCTGCCCCAAATCCTGCCTTTTCTGCCTCTTTCCTGGCTGGCGGTTTATTCTTTCCAAGAACATTTCCTAAAGTCCCCGCTTGCTGGAACATCACACCCCAGGAACCTCGACCATTGCCTTTTCTATATCTGGTTAGTGGGTTCCTTGCCTAGAGATTTGCTATACTTAGTTTCAGGCTAAAGGCCCTTACCATGTAATCCTAGAAAATCCCCCCGTCATCCCATAAAA